CAGTATTTTCGGTCCGTTGCGATATACAGTCAGTCGCTAGCGATTCGCTACTGCATACAGTTGGTCTGGTCGATAGAGCATACACTCGCTTGCATCGAGTTATACATACAGTGCCGTGCACAATCGGCTTCCGGTTTTGCACGTTGCGACATTCAGACCTCGCAGGGACCCCTTGTCGCACTTGACAAAGATCTTGCCATTTTCACTTTAGCGTGATACAGTATCTTCTCATCTAAATTCGCCAACGATACTTCTTTTGTCGAAAAGATGCGGATTCAGGTTAGAGGAAGGTACGACCTTGTGAGCAAAGCCAGCGACTCGGCAAGCACGTGGCTTCCTCATGGCGGCTCAATGACAATACAATACAACACCAAATTCAATAGTTAATACATTATGTTGCAGCCACTCTGCTTTGTACCACCTCCTACTTACTTCTCTGAAAGTAAGTATAGTAGTAGAGAGACCTTGTTCTAAAAGCTTTCGATACAGTTTTCAGTGTGCTTCCTGCTCTTGAAATAGGGCTTAACGTTAAGCTAAAGTTGATAACTCATAAAAGTTCTAATTAACTATTCCATAGGCCTTTCGTATGAAACTATACCCAAATTATTACAGAACTATCTATCGACAGTCTATTGAGATTTGATAGCGGTTCCTTACAGTTGAGCCTTCAGAAGTACGCGCAGAGCTAGGTAAGCGTCGAAGCTTCACCAATAGCGTCTTCCCATCCGGAAACCGAATTGAACAAGAATCAGCAAGAATAGTAGAAAGAAATAGTGTCCGTAGTTTTCGTTCTCTGCTACCTTTCTTCCGTTCAAATATCTCTTTGATCGACCAAATTTCATACATTCGAACGAGTCGGATAGTGAGCAACAGTTTTGAGTTCGGCGAAGCAGAAATTTGACATGATACTTGAACAGAGTTTTTGGAGATACCAGGCTCTCTTACTTGAATTTTGAAGTCTGAATCTTGTCCTGATTGTGCCGATAGTAAGGAACGGCTGTTGCTACCCTTGACATCCCATGTTTCTACGTGGAACAGGTTGCTACTGACTGAGAACACGGCTTCTATGCGGTTGTCATTGCTTAAGTTACTCGGTCCTGGACAGATGAGGAGCTTGGTCTTTTGAAGTCGAGACACAAGGTCCCCAAGGTGGGGCAAAACAGCCGGGAGGACTTGTAAGCGGACGCATGCATCCATCTCAGCCTGTCGACGTAACATTAGACAAAAAGCGCCTTGCGGATACTTTTCTAAGGTATGATTAAGTACCGCTACATGGGTTACACTGGCTCGTGGTGTCTCTCTGTCGAAAAATTCTAGCTTGCTGGAAACGTCTCGATATGCCAGCAGCTGAAGCACAGTGGACATTTCATTGCGGAACGTGGTAACAGTAGTCATGATTTGTTCATGTGCTTGTGTGCTCCACCTCTCAGATGCAACAATATCGCGGTATCGAAAACTCGAAACTGTATTCCGACTTCCTCGCGATGGACACCGACTGCAATCCAATGTGTCGCAGTAGCTTGTTGGCGAATTCGCCAATAGAGGCTGGGCATCTTTATGTTGGCTATGGCGGAACAAGAATATTGAGTGGTCAGCTGTGGCATTGTAGATAGCTTCTTGGAGTCTGACGAAGGCTTTTTCCCGCCCTTCGCCATAGAGAAGTGGCATATTGACGTCAAATAGACCCAAGAGCGAATATGCCTCGTCCTCTTCCCTAGTTACGTTTCGATGGGATGCCCATGACAATCTCTCCGCAGTACTGAATAGATCGATGGCCTGGACACGGATGAGAACGTTTGGGTCGATTGAGGTAATTTCTGCAATTTGTTTGTATCGTTCGAATTTCGTACCAATGGCGACCCAATTCTCCGCAAAGAACTCGACACATGTTGGGGCGATCAACTCTTGCAACGTCCAACCGCGTGTGAACCATTCGCTTTCAGCGAACACCGGACTCCAGCCGGCTTCTCGATCGGGAACGTCTGCTAGATAGACGTAGCAAATATTCGACTCTGCGTAGTATCTCCACATGGAATTGATCGCTTCTTGCAACTCAGCCGAACTAGACTTGTCGATGCAACAACTGTCAATCCAGATCCAGGCGTATCCATCATGAAGTGCCTGTTTGCAAGCTCCTTGTATCTTTGCAAACCCATTTCTCATCCGCATCTGGCTTTGAGAATGTAGAATAGGTGCGTTGCTTATATCCGCAAATGTGACCTCTTCAGTGTTCCACCGGTGAGAGAAAATTGCGTAGTCTGGAACCTCGCTCGGTACATAGGGACGGCTAAGCTCGAGAGACTCTGTGTTCAGAAGCCTCATCGTAAGACAAGGTTGCTTGGTTTATGATTGGCCAGAGTTGCGAAAACCATCAGGATATGAAGAGTTGATAGAACGGAGTAAGCTAGGAACAGGGTAAGGACTTCGTTAGATTGGAAGCAGCTTTATAGTGGCTAACCCACCATAGAAACCTGCAGAATCTCAATTTCCCGTCAAAGGAGTAGTGTACGACAAAGCTGGTGCCTAGATGGAGCGTTTCCTTATTCAAGCTGCAGTATATTGCATCACGCTAATATGAATATAGTAAAGTCACCAACTAGCGCAGCAGAGGCTGCTGAGGGGTAAATTATTTGGATATGGTAAAACAGGAAGCCGATTGTGCACGGCACTGTACTACAGTACGATAAGATACATTATAGCGGGTAGCGCAATCTACGTTTAGCAGGTTTAGGCGACTTTAGTTGTGCTCTAAGCAGGCTCGGGTAGTCTAACCTAGTGAGTAGTAGCGGCTGTGGTGGAGCACCTTAGCGACAAGGGTGTCAGCAACTTGCGGACAGTGTTCAGGCGGAAGCCGATTTCGCTAGTCACTGTACCTAATATAGACCAGACCAACTGTATGCAGTAGCGAATCGCTAGCGACTGACTGTATATCGCAACGGACCGAAAATACTGTTGTGTGGATGA